TTTTTTTTCAAACATGGGTTTTTGACCGTTTTTGTGCAACAGCCGACTTGATAATGCTTGTTATTTGTAATGAGCTTTGGTTTGAATTACCTTCTCCTCGTCTTTTTGTACTTACACTTCTAGTTATAAACGCGGCTATACCATCTGTTCACCCAACTCCTATTTCATCTCGTGCTCCTTCGCCAACTCCCACACATTCTCGTGCTCCTTCACCAACTCCATCTACGGTCTCATCAAACCAGGTACCATTTAATTATTGAGAGATTGCTTTCCATCACGTATACCTTCCTTTGTTTCCATATTGCCAGCAGATTTTGGCTTTAGGACGACAACCCAATATCCTCCCAGAATCTTCCCGTTATACCGCAACACATCTTGTTAGATGCCAGCACCAATCGGCGAGCTCTACTCACTCCACGTGTAAGAGCGCATGCAGTTCTCACTATCGGCAAATTCTGTTTGATGGTATGAACCTCTAAGGGTTTCTCGGACAACGTCTGGCCTCAGCTCGAAACATTTTTAAGGATGAAAAAATTGCCAAGTCCACCATTCCCGTCTTTGTAAAACAGCTGAAGCTGAACTCGGACCATGTGATCCGAAACAATATTGCACTCGTCATTTGTGATCTATGTATACGGTAAGTTTTGATTATCTATGAACATGTTTATTGCTCTCAGTCATCCAAATTATGGGGACAAATGTATTTTTCAGCTATACATCGATGGTAGATCGTTATTCTCCTATTGTTGCTGCTTGTCTTAAAGATACCTCGACTTTGGTCCGTAAACAAATACTGCAGTCGCTCACTTCACTGATCAAAGAACAGTTTATAAGATGGGAAGGACAGGTTTGTTTACAGTATCCATTCTCTATCTCGTGGAATTCTCTTCTTTGGTTCAGATTTTTATTTTTATTTTTTATTTAGATTATGTATCGTTTTGTGTCGACAATACTCGACGAAAACAAAATTATCATGGAATATACCAAGTTTTGTTTGGTAAGTAAGTTATAGAAACTTCACAGTTGACAGTCGAGTAAGCGCTCTCTATTTTTAGCGAGATGTGTTACTACTTCAATTCCCAGAATTGTTCTCAAGCCATTTCATTGAATGCCTTATGTATTTCAATAATGTGCCAGTGAGCTGTGAGCGGGAGGGTAAGGACATTTTCGGCAAAATGGCAATTGTGAGATGCTGCTGGCGAAGATCTGTTTCAGTTGTGCAAGAAGTTGTGGATCCGGCTTATCGTGTTTCACTTCACGGTCCTGAAAACGAAGAAAACCGAATGACAATCTATAAATTCATGGTATGCATTAATGCTAATTGGTGTGTTTTGATTCTGTTCATAATAAGAATGGCATTTCCCTTGTGAACAACTGCGTACACTTGAATATTGCAAGTAAAAGGAAGAAAGCAAATTTTCCGCCATCAGTACCACTGGGTTGACAACTAATTAAAGGGTAACATTCAAAGGGTAACATTTTTTTTTGAGTCTTTTATATTTATGGACCAGACAACTTAGTATTTTACAATCGATGTACAGCTGATTAAATTTTTTTGTTTATAAAAGACAGTATTTTTCTGAAATGTATGATACTAAGTTACAAGTTGCCAGCCTAGTTTTTCATATGCCATTCAAAATGGTACACTCGATAATAAATTTCTCTCTTTATTAAATGACCACTTTCTTGTTGTTTCATGTCGTTTCAGAGATTTTTTTTTAGAAATTCTCTTTTGTATTCCTGTTTTAGCTAAGCACTTTTGACGACACCCACAAATTCACCTTAATGGCGCACATTTGTACGCAAATTATTTGTCCAGTCATGAATGGAAAGCTGAAGCTAGAAGATCCCTGTGTATTCGCTCTTATGAGGGATTCTCTGACGGTATGCTATTTATTTTCCTCATTTGTAGTGTTTATTTATTATTTCAATACTAGGTGATGTCTTTGAAAGAAATCAAACTAAACATGGACGTCGGAAAGGGCCCAGATGAAGAAGACGAGCCACCTGCAGTGGTTGTGGTAAGCTCCTTTGTTTATTAGGCAGTAGGGTGAAATTCAATCATTTATTCCTACTTGAAGGCTGCCGCTAAAGAAATGATCACTGAAACATTCCGAAAGGCAATGATTGAATATGTGATGCCAGCACTGCTTGATCTACGTGTATATCTCAACGAAAGGCGATCCAGCTTACGTGGACCTTTGTATTGCGTATTCCGGTATGTTGTTTACAGTTAGGTGCAGAAAGTTTTTGATTGTTGTGCGTATTCATTTAGAGACAGTTAGTTATCAGCCAAGGTTAAAAAACCTTAACGTATGCAAATCTGCTCTATCGCGATGTTTCCTCGTGTTTATCGCGTTCTTTCAGTGCTATTTGCCGCGAACATAAGGAACAAATCGATGCATTCCTGGACGGTGATCAGCAGCTCAAAGCCGAAGTGGAGTATGATATTTACAGATTTGAGGTTTGTCCGATAAACAACGACTGTTGTGGCATTAATCATTGGTCAGATGTCTAGATGCGAGAGAAAGCTGAACGAGCTGCTGCCAAGAAACGTGCTGAAGAAGCAGCTAAAGAAAGGCGGCGATCACGGCGCTCAATGGCTGTGGTGAATAGGCCGCCAGAAGAAGACGACGAAGATGTGACCCAGCGTAGTGGGGGTCCTCAAGCTGCAACGGATGTGGTGAATGTGCAAGCCAGTGAAGAAGCTGCTGGAATTGTAATAGTATAGTATCTACCTCTGCATCAGGGGTTCATTCTTGTTATACTTTATTTTTTTTATTTCAGAAGCAAGAACCTGTTGAGCAAGAAGAAGATGTCGTGATGAGGGAAGTTACACCAGAGCCTCAAGCACCGACTGAGCATATTACGGCAGAGGTTGGTTTTTCCTTTCAAGTTCTCTCAATTGTTAATCAATAACAACGTTTTTAGATAGTTCTAACACAGTGCCAAGACAAACAGCTTGGAATTTCTGTGGTTTGCGGCGACGGGCAACGTAAAAAATTTGATAATAATTATATTGCGTCTTTCCTCGGCTACGAATTATTATTTGAGGTATGGACGAATTAGTTGCCGCTCTTCATGAGGTACAGGCTGGCACTGCTCCGGCAGCCAATTCTGCGCCAACTGATGAGTTTGTTCCGACTGCTGCCGGCAGCTCTAACGAAAATGTGGTGGTATCGTCCTCTAGTGCTCCAAAATCGCCTGGCATGGTAAGGGATGCGCCGCCGGCACCTCAAGTTGAAGAAGAACCTGTGAAATCCACAGCTACATGTGAGCCAACCGAGAAAGAAAATCAGCATACAGTAGAAGGTAAATTTTTCTGTTTTTTTCCTGTATGTGGGCAATTTTTAGTGGTACGCTTTTCTATAGAAAACTCCCTTCGCCGCAGCGTTCGACTAGCCTCTACGCCCTCTTCAACCGCGGCGGGAACTCGGCTTTCCAGAAGAGTATGGTTTTCGCTGGCGTATTAAACCAATACTCCGACGGAAGAATTTTTTCAAATGCATTGGATTTTTTCAGGCCACAAGCAGCGTGTCGGACGAGAGCGCAGTACCATCACGTGCTATGTCTACACCTAACAAACCTATTTCTGATGTGGGTTGCATTCAGGAGCTCTTAACTCATGACATGTTTGCTGGCACTAATCATAGTTCTTTTGCAGCTGACCTTTGGCGATCTCAATTTGTCTGCCATCGAAGGTGATGCAAAACGTATCTCGCGTAAACCAGGTGATCAATTCTCTTATTCTCAGTCTAGGGGACCATACACGTGATCTGTCGTGGATTTTCAAAGCAACCATCCATTCCATCGCTCCATTTTGAACCTTCCGTTTTGGAAGATTCAGTTGTATCTTGTTCGAATTCGCTGTAGCTCTAACATCCACTCACTGTTTCCATGTCGGTCGAAAAAGTAGGATTACTTGACCGATTATTTAGAAGATAAGAAGTTCCTGTTATTTCCTCCCAGGAGGAAAATCGAGGACTGATGCTCCCAGGAGATAGATCGGATTTGTCGTTAGATTTTCAATTGTTTCCAAATATAATCAAAAAGTTGATCATCTGACAAGCCAATCTTAATGCCTTCCCGCCCTCTGTGCCCCCTTATTTTTAATTTGTCTACCGTTGTATAGCTTTATTACTACTGTATAGTGAATTAAGCTAAAATTTTCAGGCCGACCACGCTTGTCACGTAAAGAAATGGAAAATATCGAGGAAGAAAATTCGTGATTATTTATTTAACGTCTAATGTAATTGAGATCTGTGTTGCGCCGTGTCATACTCTGATGTTCATTCCATTTCCTTGAATTGATATCCGGTGCAATCGATTTACATATTGTTGTTTGTTGTTTGTATTTTGTTGTTTAACTAATGAATGGAGACGCTTGGATTATTTTTTCTCTGACTCTCGCTGTTTGTTCGGCTGACTACTGGCCATTTACCACCAGTGTTTCCTAATCCCGTCAGGGTTACAGGTACCTTTCTCTCACGAACTACGCCATGGTTTTTGTTGAGAGAGTCTCGGTGAGTGTGAACTACTTTTAGCCATTTTGTAGGTTTTTCCAAGTGTTCGATTTCAGTCAGACGAGTTTTCTGAGAGTCAAGACACAACTGATGGAGTGAGTGGAAGTATAAACGATGTTGAGATCGACGCACTGGTTGAGAGGGTGGATGGCGGTGATGACGCTGTAGGTGCTTGACAGATTTCTCTTTTGGTACATCACCAACTCGACTCTGACTACATCAGGTACCGGGAGAAGACAGTGCTGTATTTGTCGGCGTTTCCGGTCACGTAAGCCTCCTCTCCGATGGGCGTGAAGCAACTCCACTCATGAATGCAACAGTGACTCTGGTACTGATTCGAAGTGGAATGTGAAAGTTTTGTGTTAAATGCGGTTCCTACGGGTCACTATTAAAGGAGAAAGCTGTCGGGAAGGAAGACGAAGGTTTTGCAAAAAGTGACGAAACGAGTTCTGGGCGCCATGACGAAAGTACGGTAGTCCCTATGGAGGTATGTTTCCATTTAATTGCATTTAATCATTTTTGTTTTGATTTCGCTTTTTTCTGTATTTTTTCAATCGTTGCGAGGGGAGTGGTTTGTATAACTGATTTTTTTACATTCGCTGGGTACTGGAGTCTTTATTGTGAATTCAGACTTAAAAACGTTGTCTCTGAAGAAGAGTTCTACTGTTTTATCTACCCAATATCCTTTAGCAGGCAGTCGAGTTGACAAAATCTATTAAATGATTTTCTGCAGATATTTGCGCCCCACAAGGTGAAACAGTACAGATGCAAAGTACTGGCTTTTATAATAGGGCGGTCTACTCTTGTCGTCTCTAGTATGGGCCTAAATCATTGCGATGCTCGTTTTCAATTGCTTCATTCTCAATTCTTTATAAATACTTCTTTATCAGAATTGCGGTTTCCATTTTAGCAGACGACTGAAGAGCAAAGTTTAGTAGCTATGTGGGCTAGTTTGATTGTGGCGCATTAACCCTTTGACGACAATGGCACCAACCGGTGGGTGCCACTATGACTGGCGCGTGAAACAATGGCAATCAATTTCGGTTACTACCACACTTTCCTGTTTCATACCATTTGCTGAGTTCAGTAAGCCAGTAAAAGAACTTTCTCGTGAGACAGTGCCACCCACGGGTGGGTGCCAGTCCCGCGCGAAAGAAGGGGAGCGTGATAACGTGGGCGCGTCCCGTCGAAATCCGCATTGTCGTCAAAGGGTTAATGGCCCATCTGTGATCTCATCATATACAGGAAGAAGATACTGTTGTACCTATGGGCAGTGCAGGTGACGTCGGCGTCCCTTCTGGCGGATATGGCGCAACTTATTGTGTGGAGCCGGTTGCGAATAAGGTTTGTGTATTCAGTTAGAGTGTTTCTCGTCCTATAAAAGTTTCGTGCTGGATGCGATTATTATGCGGTACTGTTAAAGGAGGACGCTGAAGACGAAGCTTCCGCGCAAAGTGATAAGATGAGCGCCACACCCTGTGAAGAGACCGTGGTGGTTCCTGTGGAGGTAGGTTCCCATCAATCTGTGTTTGATCGATTCTGTTTCGATTTTGCTAATTACTTTTTTTTGTATTCTTGAGATCGTCGTTTGGAAAGTGGCTCGAATCAATGCTGTTTTTACTTTCGTTGGGTACTGATATCTTTATGAAAAAAAAAACGAAATCAACGATATTTCTGTGAAAGAACTATACCACTATGTTACTCCCAATGACTTTTATTAGGAAATCAATTTGACAAGTGGATTCCATAGTCTCTTGCAGATATCTTTGCCGTAACGTGAAACAGCTCAGTTGCAAAGCGCAGACTTTCATTACAGGCCCATATTGGCGCTATTTGTTTCCAGTAGAATGCTTTAATCAATAACAGTACTCATTTACGGTCGCTTCCCATTTTATTCATATTATCGAAGAGTGTGATAAAATTGATGAGATAAGTGGTGGGGTCAAAGGTGAATGTATGGTAATTTCTGTGGAGGTATGTTTCCATTAGACTGCATTTGATAATTTTCCGTTTAACTTTGCGATCTGCTTTTTTTTGTAATTTTTATGTGATGTGAAAGTGCCGTAGCACAGATGCAAGGCGCTAATTTTAATTTCTCGACTTATTGTTCTTATTCCTTCTTCATTAAGGTGCTTGATCATTGCAGTATTTCTTTTCAAATTCTTCTTCTCCCTTTGTTCTTATTTCTTCTGTAAATCGGGGTGTCTATTTCAGCCGAAGGTTGAAGAGGAAATCACCGACGATGGTCGCGCGAAGCCTATGGTGAGTTCTATGGTTAATTGAGTTAGATTCCCTCTTTCTGTTTGATTCTGTTTCATATTACACGTGCATTTTTATTACAGATGGGTGATAACGTAAAAATAAATGATGGGTCCGAGAAATTTTCTGGTAAGCCTGATGAGCCGAGTAATGAAGCGCTTTCTTCGGAGGTTTGTTTCCATGGAGTCAACAATCCTATTCATGTCCCTATGGAGTGGCTATTTGTTTTCAATGTATCCCTTTGATGGCCCACTGTCGCAAATTAAGGAAGAGGTCGAGAAGCGGGTTGCTGCCGAAGACAATGATCCTGCTGAGGGAGAGGTTGTTTACAAGGGAGATGCTGAGTCACTTGCTGCGGTTTTGGAGGTTCGCAATACAGCTCAAATGTGTGAATCGATGTTTATTTCTGAAATGCATTGCAGATTGTGAATACGAAGCCCGCTGCTAAAAATACTGGTAAGTATAATGGCAGTAAAATTCTATTGGTGGCGATTTGCTGTAAAGATGATTAGGTTATGAATCAATTTGAATGATTTCCTTCAGATTTCTTTTATTCCCGTATTACTTCATTCACTATACAGTATTCTTAAAGGTCATGAAGAAGGTGCCGCAATCCACGACGATGCCAAAGAAAACACAGCAGGCGAAGTGATTGATGATGTTGGTAAGCAGGACGGAAAAGCGAAAGGCAAGGTCAAAAGCGATTTGCCTGCTGAGAAGGAAAATCGTGAAGAGGGTTCTGATGGTGATCTAGCATCTGGTACGGTGCCTTTGTGTGTTCACTACAAACTTGTTTCATCATGATCTCGACCTTGTAGCCATACCACTGCGTCGCAGTGCTCGCTTATCGTCAAGAATTCAAATGACACCTGGCTCAGCTCCACCGCAAAAGAAGGTACGATCTTTTAGCTTAATATGGAAGTGTTAGAATGCAGTTTTTTGTAATTGTAGAGAACTATTTAGGGTAGATACGCGACTTACGATGAGGCTGCTAATCCTTACACTGCTCGCAAAACTTATGGTGTAAGTTATCCCTTGAGAGCGTGAAAGAAAATGATTAGACTCAGATAGTTGCAAAGTTGTAGTTGGAATTCTTGTTTCAAATTTATGATTTTTTGCAATTTCGCAGATTTTACTTACAAATATTTTTCTATTTCTCGACTTATAGCGTCCTGCAACAAAACCGACCAACGAAGGCAAAGAGAAAAAACAGCAGAAGACAGGTAGGGTAGTTTTCAATGTAAATTTGGCTTAATGTTGGCTATGTTTTTTGTCCATTTTGTGTTTTTATCCTGGGAGATTGGGATATCTTTGTGCTAGGCCCACCCCTCCATCATGACCAACTTTAGCCGAATAAGAGCCAAATGGTTTCGGAATTTTGTTCCCTTTCCTATAGACACTTAGGACCTTTTCCTGTGTAGACTCCCACTTCTGAGCATTTTCTTGCGACAGTGTAGTTTCGGTTTACTCCTTGCTTTCAGGGGACGTGCACTACGTGCGTCCGAGGACGCGCGCGGCAAGTTGCGCGGCGAAGTTCGTGACGATTTGTACGACTCTTACGCCAATTTTCGGGTCATAAACTCGAGTTAGATTAGCTTAGTAGGGTCAGGTGATCCTTCTTATCTACTCTACTTCAAAATTCGGCCCTAAAGGTAGGCGCTAAGTCGTTTAAATCGTTACGGACTTCGCCGCGCGCATCCTCGGACGCACGTAAGTCAACATACCTTTGCTTTTATTCGACAGAAATTTTCAGTGTTGTACAATTTTACTTCGTATGGAGAGTTTTCTCCTCCAGACATTAGAATCGCTGTATTGCATTGCTTCACTTGCTAATTTACGGAATTTTTGCGCATCGTCAATAGTCACTAGTCAACGTCAGACTCAAATATTACAACCACCAGTCTGCTACATTTCACACACCCGCATGCATGAACTGTTACAAGTATAGGCGTGCAAATTATAAAAATGTGGCATGACGAGTTATTCAACTTTCCAATTTCTCATAAGCTTCGATAATAAACAAGATTCAACGATACTTTGATGATCGATATGCTGAAAAAAGGATTTCAGCTTCCGCGAAGAAGGGCAAGGCGGCTACTGTTGTGAACAAGTAGATGGTCTCCAAGTATCACTTGTTATGCGGCTGCTTCTGTTCATTGTATGATTTCTTTTGTTTTTTATACCTCATCAAACTGGGTATTGACAGATTGCTGAAGTCTTGCTTATTTCTATGTGCACACTTGAAGTGTGAGATCTCTTAAAGATGATCTGTTTGTTTGGCAATATTTTGTCTTCCCGCTGTACTTGTTTCGTGAAGAATTTGAAGTGGAAATGAAGTTTTTCGATCTGTACTCCGTTTTTTCATAGTTCCAAAGGTTCAATCATCCACCGTATCTCCTTTTTGAATTTACTAGCATGTTTATTGTGTATATTATTTTCTTCTCTTTATTGTTTATTTTATTATATTATTGTCAACATGTTGCCAAGGTTTTAGTCGGAGCAATGCTCGGCAGTAAGGTTGCTGGGTTGTGCTGCCGAGTTGCGGGTGCTTCCCAGGCACTACTTGCCCAACGGGCATCGCACACCATTTGGTATCCGGATGCAAAATTTGAAAGACAGTTTAAGGTAATTCAACTTTTCTCTCTTGCACGGTGGAGAATATGAAGAAGCTCTAGGTACATTGAAAATTGCGTATGTGAATTTACCCATGTTTGAATGCTTTCTTCACAGGCGAGGTTTACATTCATGGACACTTCGCCAAAACCAAGCACATTTCAGAACACAAGTATTGGCAGAATCTGGGCCTCCGATCACTATGAGGAATTCGATAAGGCAATTGGTTTGGAGAAGATTGAAAAGCTTGGAATTGAAGGTCCTGTGTGGGCTGATAACTTCGAAGGCAAGCGTCGGTACGTGTATAAATTTTCTTTTTTTCCTTTAATCTTCTGCGGTTAGTTTGTTTTGTTATCTCACTATAGGAAGCTGTCAGAGGGCGGAATATCGCAAGCTTCTACGCATGATTTTCAGTGAAAAAGAACTTGAAAACATGATCTTGAATTTTGGTCCTCAACATCCAGCAGCTCATGGTGTGCTTCGTCTGGTGTTGAAGTTGGAGGGAGAAGTAGGTTTTGAATTTTGCTTCGTTTTCTTTCTGCCTACCGAAATACTAGTGAAAGCCAGTTTAGGTTATAATTAAAGCGATCCCTCACATTGGATTGCTCCACCGTGGTACGGAGAAACTCATTGAACACAAAACGTATACGCAGGCACGTTGAGTTTTNCTTTCGTTGTCACCCAGAAAACACTTGATTTTTATACATTTATGTCTATATGTGAAGTAAGCTTGAAAATTGAATGTAGGCCATCTGAGGATCACCCTTTTTGAACATGGGTTTGGTGTTAGCTCATCCCTTTCTATGAAGTACGAAGGTACGTTTTTAGGCTCTGCCATATTTCGATCGGCTTGACTACGTATCAATGATGTGCAATGAGCAAGGATTTGCGCTTGCTGTCGAAAAGTTACTGGGTATAGAAATTCCACCTCGAGCAAAGTGGATTCGAAGTAGGTGTTTATCATCTCAATTTTTATTTGTTTTTCTCTGACTTTCAATATTTTTTGCATTTCCAGCCCTAATGGCTGAGCTCACCAGAATCCAGAACCACGTGATGGGAATAACGACACATGCCCTCGATATTGGTGCAATGACGCCTTTCTTCTGGATGTTCGAAGGTGACTGATCGCATTTATTTAATTTGATTTTTGATAATATGCTGTCCATGCTGTAATTAAATTACTTAACATCTAGAAGCTATTCATTCCCCACGGTGTCACCTCGGTACTAGCTGAGCACCATTGCATGCGTCTTACGAAATTTTTACCAAATCGAGATAGTATTAGGATTGAGTCTCATGTTCTCAACTTGTACATTTCTGGCGGGATATTACCCGGCCTACGTTACTTTACTGTTTCCTACTTTACTGCTGCCACTTCATGAATTTTTCGTTTTGTCAAAAGATTATTTCTTCAGAACGAGAGAAGATGTTCGAGTTCTCTGAGCGGGTCTCAGGAGCTCGAATGCACGTGAACTACATTCGTCCTGGAGGTGTTGCATGGGATTTACCGATTGGTCTTATGGACGACATCTATGACTGGGCCGTGAAGGTACTTCTTACTCTCAAAAGATGTTGTAAACTCTGAGCGATGTGTATCTCTTGAAGTGGTCCCATATCTAATGGTTCAAGTGCATACATACAAGCTTGTCAAAACTTTTACTGTTGTCCAATAAGGGTCCAAAAAATCGCCAGGTTGTCGAACGCCAATTTCACTGTGTGGGGTTAGTACGCTGGGGCATTCCTCTGGTTACTGGAAAAGTCAGCAGTGCAGAGATTTTCACAGTTAGCCAGAGTAGCCAAAGTTACTCGAGTAGCGGGGAGTTCCGATTTACGAAGCTCTAGTGTATTAAGTTCAATCAGGTAATTGTCACTTAACCACACTTTACCAAACTGATATATAGTGACTGTGGCGAGGGCGCGTTTGCAAGCGAACGTGCTGTTTTTTCGGGCAATATTATCAATATCAGTTTGGTGAAGTTTGCCCACTGGTATGTGGAATTCTTCGCCGTTGAGGACTTAATGCTATACGGTTAAGCCAAAAACTCGTAATTGTTAGTAGTTCGCTATGTGAATATGATTACGTACTTGTAATTTTCAACCTTACTTATTTTCCTTTTTTTCAGTTCCCCGAAAGAATAGATGAGCTGGAGGACATGCTGACGGAAAACAGAATTTGGAAAGCGCGAACTGTTGATATTGGTCGGTCTTTTTTTCTATTCGCAATGTCTCACACAACGCCACTTTTAAATTGATCTTTTCCAGGATTGGTTTCTGCCGCGGATGCATTGAACTGGGGTTTCACTGGAGTGATGGTTCGTGGATCAGGCATCAAACAGGATGTTCGTAAAACGCAACCGTATGAAGTATACGATCAAGTGGAATTTGACGTCCCAATTGGTACAAAGGGTGACTGTTATGACAGGTATGTTGATCTGGACGCTTGTGCAATAGTGCTGGAATTCTGAAATTTTGATTGTTTTAGGTATTTGTGCCGTGTAGAAGAGATGCGACAGTCGCTTCATATTATTCATCAATGTCTTAACAAGATGCCTATGGGAGAAGTAAAAGTAGATGATCACAAAATTGTTCCACCGAAACGAGCTGAAATGAAGGTATCATCTAGAATCTTTCAGGGAAAACCTGAGTACTCTTTTTTTTATTGACTACTCTTAAGGACTCCATGGAATCTCTTATTCATCACTTCAAATTCTTTACGGAAGGATACCAAGTCCCACCAGGAGCCACCTATGTGCCTATTGAGGCACCCAAGGGAGAATTCGGTGTTTACCTCGTTGCAGATGGCACAAGCAAACCATACAGGTAATTTCTGTGATTTCGAATAGCTTTATGGAATTTTCTTTCATGAGGATAAAGTTTCCACTTTGAAGGTGTTATATTCGTGCTCCTGGATTCGCTCACTTGGCCGCCATGCACGATATTTGTTACATGGCATTGATTGCCGACGTCGTAGCTGTTATTGGTACCTTGGATATTGTGTTTGGTGAAGTGGATCGATAGATATCTAGATCATAGAGCTTTCCTTTCTAATGTACGGATTGTCAAGGAGGTATTTAGAGTAGAGAGATTATATGCAGCAGATAGCCAAAGCAAAGTGTTGGTCGTTGTTGTACGTTTCGCTTCGAAACAGTTTTCGAAATAAATCTTTGCATCTGATGCTTTTCTAACGAAAACGCCTCAGTGGGTTCATTTGGGAACTTCCCAACGTATTAGTTTAGGTTTTTCTGTTTTGGTTGCGATTGTTTTTGAATCTGGGCATTTTTATTCATTCATTTTTTGCAATTTCTCTTTTCTGTCGTCATTTTGTTCGTCAGAGTCATTTTATTTTCTTACTACAATACGAAAAGATTTTCATTTTGACGTATTTCACAGTGTGAGAACAGAAAGGTTTGCATTTGGAATCCTTGGGTATTGGTTGACTGAACTTGCGTCCAAAGTTTAAAATGTAGGTTCGTTATCCAGCAGACTTTTCCCCTTCCATTTCCTTTCGGTTCGTGGTGTTTTATTTGTGTATATGAAGGGAAGGAGCAGAAATACTCGTATCAGAGGTGACCCTTATGGAAGGGGATATCTTCTGTAGGCTAGCACCTTTACAAGTGTTTTTCCGATCCGTTTTCGTTATTGATTTGTGGGAAATTTCCCATCAAGCTGAAGTGGGGAGCTTCTCACCCAGCTCATTATTGGTGATTCGGAAAGTTTCTACTTGCAAACTTCAATTTTCATACTGGAATTTTATTTGTATTTAATTAGCTTTTT